TTGGTAACCTCTAGTCCCTTCTTGGGTTCTGTGATTCTGCTGCTGTTTTGTTCCTTGAGTTTTTGCTTTGTTTTTATACTCCCTAAATGAGTGAAGTCATTTGGTACTTGTTTTTCTCCACCTGGCTTATTTCACTGAGCATAATACCTACCCTCTAGCTCCATCCATGTTGTTGCAAATGGTAGGATTTGTTTTCTTCTTACGACTGAATAATATGCCATTGTATATGTACCACATCTTCTTTATCCATTCATCTACTGATGGACACTTAGGTTGCTTCCATTTCTTGGCTATTGTAAATAGTGCTGCAATAGACATAGGGGTGCATATGTCTTTTTGAATCAGGGATCTTGTTTTCTTTGAGCAAATTTCTAGGAGTGGAATTCCTGGGTCAAATGATATTTCTATTATTAATTTTTTGAAGAACCTCCATATTGCTTTCCACAAAGGTTGAACTAATTTACATTCCACCAGCAGTGTAGGAGGGTTCCCCTTTATCCGCATTCTCGCTAGCATTTGTTGTTTCCTATCTTTTGGATGGTGGTGATCCTTACTGGTGTGGGTGATATCTCATTGTGGTTTTAATTTGCATTTCCCTGATGATTAACAATGTGGAGCATCTTTTCATGTGCCTATTGATTATCCGAATTTCTTCTTTGGAGAAGCATCTGTTCAGATCCTCTGCCCATTTTTTAACCAGTTTATTTGTTTTTTGGGTATTGAGGCATGTGAGCTCTTTATTTATTTTGGATATTAACCCCTTGTCAGATAAGATTTTTACGAATATATTCTCCCATACTATAGGATGCCTTTTTGTTCTGCTGATGCTGTCTTTTGCTGTACAGATGCTTTTTAGTTTGAAGTAGTCCCATTTGTTCATTTTTGCTTTTGTTTCCCTTACCTGTTAACTCACTTAATTTTTATACCCACCCTATGGGGTCAGTTCTATCATTATGCTCATTTTCAGTGGAGGAAAATTTTTCACTTCACCGGAAGAAAGAAACTTAGAAAGATTGAATGTCTTGCTCAAGTTTACAAATCTATCAGGTAGTGGATCTGGGATTCAAACCCAGGTAGTCTAGCTCCCAGATCTATCTTAACCCATTAATATATGACCAGAAAGAACCCCTGCAAGAATTTGTCAATCATCTTTATCATGAGTGGTTTTGACCTGGATTCTTAGTGATTGCTACAGTGACTTTCAAACTTCTCAAAAGCCACAGTGAAACCATAGACTGGTGAAGGAAAAAGCTATAAAAATTCCAAAGTATTTAAAACTTACTTTAAGTTATTGGATGTGTTGGTGTGTATGTCATGTGCATTTTGATAACAGAGTAGCTAAGAATTGAAGCTCCTGAAAGCTTGGGGACCTCTGGTGATACTCAACCTATTTCTTCAGCTTCTTCCAAGCATCTGGAACTTACAACTGTCTCCTCCATATATGGTGTGTCAAATACATAGAAATTTTTCTTCTATGTAGCTCTATTTTCTTGCCATTTCTTTGTGCTGTTATTGTGTTATATATGTTCAATTTTTACATGTAAGTCCAGCAGCACAGACTTATAATTATTGTTTTATGCAATTATGTTTCAAATCAGTTAAGTCTTTTAAATCAGAAACTGTACACTTTAGATTTCATTTTGCTCTTCTTTTTCTAGTTTCCTAGGGTGGGAGCTTAGATAATCGATTTTAGATCTTTCTTTTCTAGTATACATATTCACTGATATAAATTTCCCTCTAAGCACTGCTTTCACTGCATCCACAAATTTTGATGTTGTATTTATTTTAATTTAGTTGTATTTATTTCATTCTAAAATATTTTTAAATTTCTCTTGAGACTTATTTTCTAACCCATGTGTTATTTGGAAGTGTTTTCTTTAATTTCCAAGTATTTTCACATTTTCCAACTATCTTTTGGTTATTTATATCTCATTTAATTCCACTGTGGTCTGAGAACAGACCCTGTGTCATTTTTTATTCTTTTACATTCACTAAGGTATATATTATGGCCCAAAATGCAGTCTATCTTGGTGAATGTTCTATGTGAGCCTGAGAGGAGGTGTACTCGGCTGCTGTTGATGAAGTAGTTTATATATGTCCATTATATTCCTAATTTTTTATACATAAACATAAATATAATCTGTGTGTATATATACACATATACACACATACACATAGATATAATTTGTGAAGGTTTTTTGAATCTACATAGTTTGTATAGATGTATTCTGACATTATATTCTATTTACCAAGTGTTTTTATGGGATACTTTCATATTTCATTTTAATCTGAGTATTCATGACATTAATAATTCACACTATTGACACATGTTTGGGAAACTTCACCTCTGCCCGAGTACTGCCACTTTCCAAAGTGAGGAAAGAGGAAGCTAGAATTACCAAAAGACTCCAAAACCTAAGGATATCATTGATTTTCCAAGATGCTACAGCTTCTCAAGGTCACAAAGGGAGAGTGGACTTGTATGTTTCCCAGGGCTGTGGTACAAAGTACCAATAACTGGGTGGCTTAAACAACAGAAGTTTATTGTCTCACAGTTCTGGAGGCCGGAAGTCCAAGATCAAGGTGTCCACGGGGTTGGTTCCTTCTGAGGGCTGGGAGAGAGTTTGTGCTCCATGCCTCTCTCCTAGCTTCTGCTGGTTCGCTGGCAATCTTTGGCATTCCTTGACTTATCTCTGCCTTCATCTTAACATTGTCACTCCCCTGTGTGCATGTCTGTGTCCAAATTTCCGCTTTTGATAAGGACATGAGTCAAACGGGATTAGAGGCCCACTGTATTTCAGCAACTTAACTAATTACATCTGCAGTGACCCTATTTCCAAATAAAGTCACGTTCTGTGGTATTGGGGGTTAGGACTTCAAGATATGGACATTGAGGAGACGTAATTCCACCCATAACAGGGAGCAAACAGAGTGTTGGTATGACAAAAAGGAAAGATATCACAGAATTTGGGTTCTTATCTTAGTCTAGCAACAAGATGTGGTCTTTAAGCAAATAGGGCCTGTTTCCTCACATGCAAAATAAGGAGCTCCTGCAGATGATATCAGTTTCTCTCCTAGTTCTGTTCTCAAAATAGTGTTGCTATGAGTTTGAAGTAGATTTTGGATTTTAAATGAACTCCCAACTCAAAAGACAGACCTTTTGAGAAGACCTTAGTGGGAAGAGGCCCAGCACACAGGGTCCCTGGGGACTAGTTTGCGAGAAGGGTTGCCTTCACACGTACAGTGTCACAGGACCATTGCCTTCGGGCTGTGATCATTCCCAACCTTTCTGCAGTTGCAACACCCAACATGTTATAGTTGTTTATTTGATTTTGTGACACTGCCCGTGACCCTCCACCTCCCTACTGCTTCCCTCTCTCCCAGCCCTAGCCCAGAGGATCTGCCAAACATGGACTTACTTTTAAAGATTAATTAGGTCTTGCAAATTTCATCAGACCCTAAAAATAATCTTATTGCTTCTGGCAAGGATGTAAATTAAAGCAGATGGCCACTGGGCTGGTGGAGAAAATACTTGGGACCACCCGAAGGACAGTTTTTGGAAATTATAAATCAAATTATTATTTATAATAGTGTAACAGCAGCTTATACTATTTCAAAGCACTTTCATAATAGCAAGTACCAAGGATTGGATGGCAGTTACTGGAAAAAAAAATAAAAAACATGAACACTGGTTGAAATAAGGGGTGGTAGATTTATAGGTGATCTTTTTATGGATAATTCTAACTTTTTCGGTATAATTTTCTCTATTTTCAAATATTTCTACTCTGAGTACTGCTACTAATCTAAAACAATAATAATATATTGACTTTTAAAAAATGAAGTTTATTCTGCTATGCAACAAAGGTTAATTGAGCACTTGCTACATTCCAGGCACTGTCATGACAGTGAAAAAACCACAGGTCCTGTGGAGCTTCCAGTGGGGGCAGGGGGACGTTATGAGGGACAGTTATCATTTGTCCCTTGTGTAAAAGTTTACTTTGAGCAGATTTTCTCGGGTGATGCGGAGGGAAAATTGCAACCTGCTGGGGGTAACACGTGCCCCAAAGAAGATGCAGAATGGAGAGGTTTGAAGGTGGTGATCAGCACGCTTGGTCTGCGTTTAAATTTTACTGGAAGTTGGATCTTGGAATCAGAGCTCCACCGTCCCTGGTCCAAGGCTGCCTACTGCACTCAACTACCTTCCCTGGGACATTGTGAAACCCGAGTTTGGAGTCACCTGCACCAGAGAACTTCTGGCCAAGGTGGGGCGGAGGACAGGACAGGGCATACTGCTGACGTCAGTGCGCAGAAAGCCGCAGGGGCCCATACCGATCGGCTGATGCAGACGCCATTTCCTGGCAGGCCAGTGTCTTTCATGTCACCTCTCAAGGCAACATGCCGGACGTTAGGTGATAAGGGGGGCTAGAAGAACCTGTTTTTGGTTATCATATATGTGTCATTACTGACATCCTATGGCTTATAAAACTGCTAGTTTTCATTAGTCTCTGGCGATTTCTTCACTGGGCACTATCATGGAAACCATACAGATACTCAGAGGGCACTAGGAAGTGCACGAAGCCCCAGAGAGGCCTGGGACCAAGAGGAGTAATGACACAGAACTTTGACTTGCCATGGCCATGTTTCAGACATCGGCCCCCAGAGTGGTCCTTTGAGAAAACAAAGTGGCAAAATGCCTCCAAAGACAAAATGATTAATTTTCTTGGACAGTAGAAATCCCACTCCTGAAAATTAATCTTGAAGAAGTAATATGTTTCTGCATTAGATGTAATGTTGAAGCATTAAAAACATTTAAATGCCTGTAATTGGGAAAAGCTAAATAAGTTGTGATAACATCAATTCATATAATGAGCACACATTATAATACTTAATATAATCACAATTATATATGCCATCATGGGAAACTGCATTAGTTTGTTAGCACTGCTATAGCAAAATAGCACAGACTGAGTGGCTTATACAACAGGAATGTGCTGTCTCACAGTTCCGGAGGCTGCAAGTCCGAGGTCAAGGTGTCAGCAGGGCCAGTTCCTCCTGAGGGCTGGGAGCATAGGGGTGATCCAGGCCTCTCTCGCTGGCTTGTAGGTGTCCATCTTCTCCCTGTATCTCTTCACATGGTCTTCCCTCTATGCATGTCCATATTTCTAAATCCAAATTTCCCCTTTTATAATGGCACCAGTCATATTGGGTTAGGGCCCATCCTAATGACCTCATTTTAATTTGATCACCCCTGTAAAGCCTTTATCTCCAAAGCGAGTGAATGACCTCTAGAGCAGATCCTCCCTCCCGACTACAGCCTAGATGACCGCAGCCCCAGCCAAACCTTGGCTGCAATCTTGCGGGAGAGCCACGAACCACCCAGCCAAGCCACTCTTGAACACCTGGCCTGCTGTGTGGCGACCCAAACAATGACCTGCAAAGATGTCCACATCCTACCCCATGGAACCCGTGAATTTGCATGCAAAAGCAACTTTGCAGATGTGATTAAGTATCTTAAAATAGAAAAATTATCCTGGGTTATCCATGTGGGCCCAGTCCCTTGAGCCTGAGTGCTAATCTGCCTGGGCTCTAAACCCTCTGCCTCCTTTGGGAATGGTGGATACTGTGGGAGGGATAATTATCATGCGAGTGGACAGCTTACACCAAGAGGAGTCCCCAGACTCTGGGGACTGGATCCGCTCTTAACTTCTCTTTCCTCTGGAGAAATTGGTACCTATGGATGAGGTATAGAAACTGTTCTGTTATATTTTTGTAGACTGCTAAGAAATTCAACACTTGGAAATGAGGCAAAGGATAAGTGCCTGTCTTCAGTGCTACATGGAGCACTGCGGAACAGGTCTGTTCCTACGTCACTGATTCAGTGTGTCTTTGCTTGACTTACTCCTTGATCTTGATCTCAGGCTCCATCAAATTAGATGGTCTTTTAGATTGGTCAACTGAAATGCTTTTTGTGAAGAAAAGATGCGGATGATTTCTGGTCTAGTAGAAAGAATCATGTCAAAGTTTGTAGTTCATTGCCCTGTAGGTTGGGTGACCAACTGCTCCCATTTGCCTGCGGCCTGAGGGGTTTCCCAGGATAAGGAACTTTTAGTGCTAAAACTGGGACTGTTCTGAGGCAAACAGGCTGTTGGTCACCCCACCTGCAAGACATTACCCAGTTTGGGAGCTGACTTGGCCATCCTTTATTTTAGCTTTCTGTCTTTTTGACCTCTGAACCAGTTTTTTTCTTTTTTATTATAGAAGTATAGCAACTGAACCAGTTTTCTCAGACTGCTGTTCTATCATTGATTAATGAAATAAATCTTTGACATATACTCACTTGATATTTGTGTAAGAGTCATGCTTTTTAACTCACATTCTAAATGAGTACTGGACGAGAGGAGGGGTTTCTCTGATGAGGGGCGCAGTGGGCAGGTACTGCCAAAAGAGCAGGCCCTGAGATCGGTACTGGAGAAGCTGTTTCTATTTTTGGTCCCTTCATTGATCCCCTTTCTCTTGAGCCTACAGATATGCTTAAGTCTCTTCCTTCTAGAAAAATAGCCTCCCTTCCTTCTGCAATGATTGGCCCTGTCTCCTATCCTTCTTAGCCAAGAGTGCTATCTGGTTCCTTCCTAGCAGCCTTCTCATGATCTATACAAGTTCACTTTCACCATCCCAATATAACTTATTTTTTAAAATTTACTTAGCTTTGCTATAATAAAAAATGCTTATAGCCACCAGTATCTGGTACCTGATATTCTCCAAGTACTTGTCTTGCACTGAGCATTTAATATTGAGCTCCTCAAGCTCTCTACTTGGCGCTACTTTTACTGATCATACGTTCCTCCTTGTTAATGGAATTATACTTCCTTAATAGCACTCAAATCCACTTCCTCTCCATCCCCAATGCCAATGCCTTGGCTTGGGCCAGCTAATTTGACTAAGGTACTTCCCTGATTAAAAGCCATCTCTGGTGGCTCCGCACAGTGTGTTACAAAACTTGCATGCAAGCCAATATATAAACATTTACTTATAAATTATATCTGGGTATTATTGTACTGATATATTCTTTACAACTTAAATAAGATATAGAAAAAGAAAGTCCCCCAAAGATGATATTTACAAGTAAAATGAAGTTCTAATATTTTTTCCTTACACTGCAGTGGAGATTGTGTGTACTAGCTTGGAGACCAGAGACCCACAGCGTTAAGTCCAAGTACATGTAGCTGACTTTCAAGGATCCTCATGATTGGGCCCCTGGCTAGCTCTCCTCTTTTTCCTTGATTTCTTCCCTTTCTCCTAGAGCTGGTCCAGGTGGAAGACTTTGACCTTCAAGCTCCCAGACCTCCTGGTTTCTATTTGCTGCCCTCTTTGTTTGGAATGCTGCCCCCTGCCTTGCCTCCCAAAGCCCAAAGCTCCTTTGTCTTACTCATTCCTAAAAGCCATCTTCCAGCACTTCTTCCTCTGGTAAGTGGTGTTTTGGTTACTTCTGCCTCCATACCCCATCTACACCCATGCACATCTTTTTCTTTGCAATATGACATATTTTCCTCTCCACCTCATTAAGCTGTGAGATCTAAGGGACTGTCTCATTCGTTCAGTGGCCTACGTGCCTGGTAAACACTAACAATGACAAAAATAACAGCTAACATTTTGTAGCATTAATGTATGCCAACCACTGCTTCAAGTGTTTTTTGCACATATTACTCTATTTAATCCTAAGAGATGGGTAAAATTATTTCTATTTTGCAAACGAGGACACTTGGGCACAGAGAGGTTGAGTAACTTCCCAAGGTCACTTATGTAGCATGCAAAGTTCAGGATATATTGCACTGAACTGAACTGTGTGCTTTCTATCACACCTTGATGAGACAAGCATAGTTTCCAGGCCCAGGCGAACAGGGAAATGTTCAGGCTGAGAAAGGCAGTCAGGTGTGAGCGGCACCAGCCTGAGCCTACACTGCCCCCTGCTGGCCAGCTGTGCCCTCGCTTCAGCCTTAACCAGGTAGAAGCCCCCTCCGCCACCTGGCTTGAGTCTGGTGTTTGAAGACAAGTAGGGGATATTCTAAAAGGCCGAGGCAGCTGAGAGTCATCGGGGAACACGTAGGGATTTCCCCTTGATCCACATACCTGAAGGACTGTCTCCCTGATAGGGATGGCTGAACGAACCAGAGTTAGAACAGAACTGGGAAAGTAAACCTTCTGCCTCCAAATGCTATAGAACAGACCTCAAACCAATAGAAGTGGGGTTTTTTTTACAGAAAAAATTTAGGTAAGGGTTTGGATTATTCTTAAATTAGGCTCTCCTTTAGGATGGAAACTGAATTTTAACTTACATCAACAGATTGGTTCTCAAACGGGGTGCCACATGAAACTATTAAAAAATACAGATGCCAAGCTCCATTCCATGCCTGCCAAATCAAACCAACAGAGCATTCTCCTCAGGGCTAGGCTCAGGCTACATTTCCCCAAACCCCAGAATCTCGAAGACCATTTTGCATCTCACTTATCCAGGTGAAGCAAAAGTAACACCTTTTCATTTGTGCTTCAGTAGAAAACTACGCTATTTTACAATTCTGTAAACTGTGGGGATTGATAGCAATAAAAAAAATTATTGTCTGGAGACATGCAAATTCTACCCTGTCTGGCAGAGGTTCGATTGATTTTCCCTTCCATTCCTACTCTGGAAGAAATCAGCTTGTCTCCTTTGTATATCCATATCTTTATTCCTGATCTCTCATGGGCTCTGTTCAGGTTCTCTTTTGGACCTGTTGTAACATCTGCTTGATTCCCTCAGTGATTATTCATTATCTTTAGGGTGCACTTTACACCTGAATGAGAGTTGTGATTTCACCTTTTTTGGAAAATTACCTTTACCGCATGAATGCCGAGTATTTCCCTCTCCTCTGCTCTTTGGCCGTCTGCCTCTTGCACCCTTTGCTTTGCTTGCACATTTGGGGGTTTTCCCAGAAATGGGCTCCTGCCCCAGTAAGCTTCTTCCATATGCTGGTCTGTCCAAGAGTTCCTGGAAGATTAAAATGATGAAACAATGTTATATTTTAACAGGCAAAGGAGAGGTCAGGACATTGTTTCCTAAACTTCTCTTCTACAAAACCTAAAATAAAAAAAGCATAAGTTAAATTAAAATTAAATAAACTCATCAGATTTTCATTGGGCTTTCACTCTCAATCTGCCTTACTTACCTAATCCTTTCTTACATATAATTGATTGATTTATCAAAAATTACCTATTGGGAGTGGCTTACTTTTAATGTACCTCTAAGAACTGATGTTATTTACCCAACAGTTATTGAGCAACTACTATGTGCCATGCATATGGCAAGACATAATCCCAGGGAGCTCACAGGCTAGAGAGTGGGACCGATGACACAAATAAATGATTAATTTTGAATTTTGGGATTAATAGATTAAATGCATGTTTTGAACTAAAATTGCAATAATTCACAAAAGGAGAGATCAATATGGACTAGAGTCATGGATGGTACTCTGGTTATCTTTTTGCTAAGTTAGATAAAAATTAAATAGAAACAAATATCCCCAAAACATAGAGGCATAAGACAACCATTTATTACACTCATGGATTCTGTGGGTCAGGAATTTGGATGAGTCCATTGGTGATGGCTGGACTCTCCTCCACAGTGGTGGGAACTGAGCAGAAAGACCCAAAGGCTGGAGGTAATTCAGTGGCGCAGACTGGAGTCATCAAAGGCTCATTCACTACCACCTGGCAGGTGATGCTGGCTGTTGGCTGAGACCTCAGCTGGGGCTAATGGCAAGAACACATGCCCCTGGGTTTTTCATGCCTGGGTTCCTTACAATGTGTCTGGGATACAAGGTGGACCATCCTCAGAGAGAGCCTGACAGAAGCTGCATAGCCTTAAAGACAAGACCAGAAACCCTTCAGTGTCACTTCCACCGCATTCCATTCCGGATCAGCTTTGCAGGCATGCAACCTGCGCTCACACAGAGCCCCAGCCCTAGAACAGCCCTGAGCTTGGTTTATTGTTCTGCTATCATCTTGAAATTATTAATAATATTTGAACCATTTGTATTATGCACTGAGCCCCACAAATTATGTCATTAATCCTCAAGGGCTCGCCCATAAGGTGGGGATTTGGGCTCTCCCTTGATGGGGCAGCAAGATTCTGGAGATGCACGTGGGACTAGAAATATTGGTGTGGCATTTTTTAGAAAGTGCGGCCTCCCAAGAGGATCTGTGGAGAAATTAAGACATCATCTGGACTTTGAAGATTTTCCTCCAATTTTTTAAATGTCCCAGCCTCCCACAAAGACTTACCCAGGTCCTACTGGTTCCCCAAACCCTCCTAAAGAGAGTAAAAATGTAATATTTGTCTGATCCCCTGTGCATTCAACACATCCTGAGCACACATTGGGGGAGCATTCACAGATGACTGGAAGAGACCCTGTCTTCAGTGGACTTGGTGTTCAGAGTGATGGCGCCTGGGAAGGGGGAAGAGAAAGCAAAGGGCAAAGCACCAGAGAGCCAAGCGGACAAAGTACAAAGGACAAGGGATGGTCGAGAGAGGAAGAGGCAGCTTTCAGCTGGGGGAGACAGAGCCGCCTCCTGGAGGTCTGGCATCTGAGGATCCCCTTCATTCATTTAACAGTCATTCATTCACTGTCATTTGTGTACCAGGCACTGGGGATACAACGGGGAGCAGATACTCCCTGCTCTCCTGGGGGAAGCCAAATTACAAATTAAGAAAAATATGTAGTGTTTATGGATTGTTATAAATCCTAAAGAGAAAAAAAAAAAGGCAGAGAGGAAAGGGACAGCAGTCAGAGGGCTGGTCGATGTGGTCACACCAGGGCAGAGCTCTCCAGGTGGAGGGAGTGGCAGGGCCAAAGGCCCTGAGATGGGAACTGGCTGCCCCTATCTTCTCCGCAGAGGGGTGGCAAGAAGAAAAGAAGTCTGGGGCTCTGGGGCCCAGTGCTGTTTGCAGCCACCTTATTCTTCACATGCTCAGAGACAGGAAGCACATGCTGGGCCAGAACCATGGAGAAGGGCCAGAACCATGGAGAACGTCGCTTGACTGGGCACCACAAGAACCCACGGGTTTACTTTAAATGTGTAAATGTTCTGCATTCCTTTAAATTTGACTCCTTATGTATTCTACTTGTTACCAAACTTTTAGGCAATTAAGAGGAAAATGTCCTTAAACTGGAAAAAATATTTTTCTCAAGTAGTTAACCACAAGCAACACATAATAAGCTTAAAAGCTGTACTTCCCAAATGTTCTACAATGAGCATGTATTTTTTTTATAATCAGAAAAAAATGTTCTTAAAACATTTTAAAGCAAAACCCTAAAACATGGATAACCCACACTGTTGGTGAAGTTATGGGGAAATAGACACTCTCAAATACAACTGATAGGAACATAAATTCATGTAATTCCCATGGAGGGCAATTCTGCAATCTGTATCAAGAGTGTAAATGTATATATTCTTGACCTAGATATTCATCATTTGTGAATTTATCCCATAGGTGTACCTGTAAGCGGCTGAAATGATGTATGTACAAGGTTGTTCATCCAGCTTCTTTGTAGTAGCAAAAGATTAGAAAAAAAAACAAAACCTAAATGTCTATCAAAAGAAGGCTAGTTAAATACATCATGCTACCTCCAAGAAATGGAGCACTATGCAGTTTAGAAAAAGGAACAGAGATGCTCTTTATTTACCAATATGAAAAGATCCTTGAGATAAATGAAGTGAAAAAAACAAGCTCATAATAGAGTGTACTGTTACCTTTCATGTGAATCAGGGAAAGAGGTATATATTTGTCTCACTTGTACTTACTAAAAAGACTCATGGGAATATCATGACCATGACAGTTTGTTGGGTGGGATCTGGAAATCCTTTATCTGCCAGTGAACTCACTCTACTCCTGCAATGATATTGACTGACAACAATATCTCACAGCTGTCCTCTCTCTAGAGAATTGCCCTCCACCTGTGGAGAGCCACCTTGTCTGGAAAGGTTATACTTCCAACCCCTACCTGAGGCAGACCCCAGCCATCGAATGACTGACACAGTATTCAAAAGACCAATTGAGGACCAGTTTGGTGGTGTAATCTGTGTTCCAGGGATTTTGCATGAGATCAACCTCGCCTAACTGAAAAATCCAGATGTTTTCTGACTTAAAGTACAGTGTGATCCAGAGCTTCACAGTTTCATTAAGCCTCCAGCTCTGTTCTCTCTGATTCTCCCAACCCTGATCCCTTCTGTGTGCCAGCTCCTATCTCTGACTGGGTCCCTCACGGCAGGAACAATGACGACTGCATGTCTGCAGAAGTCTCACCTTGCACCATCCAGGAAAAGAGAGAGCTTCTTTTCTGGTAGCTCCCAAAGAAGAGAGAGGATGCTTTATCCTCAGAAACCTCCCACAGACAGGTCCTCAAGTCTGCCCAGTCTGAATTTGGTACTACGCTCATCCCTGGACAAGTATCCATGGTTAGAGAATGGGCCATATGAGAGGCATAAGCCAAGAGCTGAGGGTGAGATTAGTCTCTCGAGGTCACTTGGCTGAGAGTGAAGGAGAATCTGGTGCTGTGTTTGTGAGAGAAGGGGAAATAGGTGGGGAGGGAGCAAATAAATGGCCACCACGGGGATGAAGACTCTGGTTTTTCAAAGCAGGAGGTGCAGCTGTTCACTGAGGGAAGGAGAGGAGGGAGCGTTCTGTGGGAGGCTGGAGAGAGTGAAGGCTTGGGAAGGTTGTTGGAAATAGGAAAGGAAGAAGCCCAAGAATCAGCGAACATTCTGTGGGCAGAAAGAGGGCTCAGGGAGGCTGGGCTGGTCCGCTACTCGAAGCCTCTCTGTGCCCCGTTGTGCTTGTCCAGTAGCCGGCCGGCTGGTCTAAAGTGTTAGAAAGGTGGATTAACACACTGGTCCTGGGGGTAGGTTTTGTGCTGAGCAGCTGGTCTGGAAGGAGAGGGTGAGGAGGTTATCAAAGGTGCTAACAAGAAGGCAGTTCAGATAGCCCACCAAGGAGTGCATCCTGAGGAGAAAAATCTGAAAGACCAGAAAGTTCTGTAAGATGGGGAAAAAACGGAAAACTCAAGACCCACAGAGTCCTAGTGATGTCAAAGAACAGGTGCAGGGGGCTGAAGGCAGCTCAGAGCAGCTAGTGAGAGCTGTTACTTCCTGTGTCCAAACTGCCCACTCAGCCACCATCACCCCTCACTTGGATTGCTTCGGTGGCTCCCTACTTTATTTCTTCGCTCTTTCCTTGGTCCCCTGGAAGTCATCTCCTCCCAAAAGCCAGAGTGATCTTTTAAACAGAAAAATCAGAGCAAGTCACTCTCTGCATTACTCAGCTTCTCCTTTCTGGAACATTCTCTCAGCTATCCTCCAGGCTGCCTCCTTCTCATCCAGGACTCGACTCAAATGTCCCCTTCCCAGATCTGTGTAAAGAAACCTGCCCGCCCCGTTAAAGTTTAGGCATTACCTTCTTTCTCCATTTGGCGCCCTTTCTCTCCCCCCTCCCCCACAGGAAGGGACGCGCCACACGAGCCCAGTTCACCCTGCGCCTCCAGTGCCCGCTAGAGTAGGTGTTCCCACATCCTGTATTTGCTGAAAGAATTAATTAACAGATGGCAATTTTATATGCTTTTAAATATCCTTACTTGGCAAAGGAAAACTTGCCTCGTCTGTGTGGTTCATTATTTTAAAAAACGTTTATAAGTCCAGAACTGCTGCAACAGTGATTGGCAGCAAGCCCCATCCCACCCCCACCCCCGGCCCGAACACACTTGTAAGGACAGCAGGAGGGAGGGGGACGAGGGGTGTAAGGACAGCAGGAGGGAGGGAGGCGAGGGGGTGGGCGAGGCGGCACGCACCCAACGGGACGGCAGAGCCAAGGTGCTGGGCAAGCTGCGAGCTCGCTGCCCTCGGCCGCACACACCGCGAGGTCAGAGGATACTCGCCTGGCTGCAGAGCCGAACGACTCTCCAGCCCTGCACCCAACAGGCTCGCCCACAGCGGCGCCCCGCGGCGGCCCGCGCGCCCAGGTGAGGTCCCGGGACCGTAACGCGCCCAGCGCGCGTGCGCGCAGGTGAAGGCCCCGCCCCCGGTCTCGGCCACCTGCCCGGGACTCCGGCGGTGGATTGCTGCCCCCGTTGCGCCGGGGCGGGAACACGGAAGCGGGCCATGGAAGATACGTCAGGGACTCGTGAGCCCCGGGCCCGGCCGAGAGAGCGGGACCCAGCCCGGCACCCCCGCCCGGACAGAGACCGACACCCGGAGCGGCAGCGGGACAGACCCGGGGACCGGCGCGGGGAGAGAAACGGAGGCGGGCGGAGGGACGGGGACCGGGACGTGGGGAGGGACCGAGACTCCCGACAGGACAGACACGCGGCCGGGGCCCACCGCTCTGGTGAACAAAGGGTTTGGGAAAAGTCCCGCCAAAGCCGGACGCGGGACGGACACCGGAGGCCGACCTGGGACGCAGCCCCGCCCCCTTGGCCCACGCCTTGGGAAACCCCGCAGCCGCCGCCCCAGAGGAAGCAGGGCCTTGAGCGCCGCGGCCCGGAAAGGTGAGGTGGGCTGCAGGGGCGCGGACCTGGGCGCCGGGGCAGCGGCCATCCCGAGTCCCGCCCCCCACCCCGGTTACTGTCCTCGAAGACAGTGCCATGCCCCCTTTTTGCTCCCTGAGAGGTGACCTGGGAAGGAATAAATTAGGGTGCACCCACTTCTTGACCCGAACCCAGTTAACAAAGCAGAAACCACACCTGTTAGCGGTGGTAGGCCCGGATGGTGGGGGGCGCGGCCGGAGGACCAGGTAAGGACTTAAGGGCTGGAAAGGGAAAGGGTGGAAGGAGCTTAGGGAAGGGGTTTGACCTGAGGCTCCTTCCTGACCTCCTCACCACGTGGTCGCAGGACTACCACTTTGGGGCTTCAGACCCTTGTCCTGTGTTCCAAAAACAGCCCTCCCCAAAGTCCTGTTCCCTGGACCCCGGGGCCTAATCAAGTCAGCCCAACAGAGTTAATAGCTTAACCTGAACCCCTTCCAGGGGTATACGCATTTCCAAACAGAGCTGGGAGAAGATACACTTTTAACCAAAGAACTAAATCTACCTAAAACTGCCCACTGAAGGGCTGAGATTTCTTCCTGCTTTGCCAGTGAGGGATTCCTGGGCAGCCTCATTCCAATCCCACGGTTGTTTCACACCCTACCCCCGTGAATGAACAGTTCGCCACCCCGGCCTTGTAGAACACAGAGAATTCACCTAAGGCCTCGTGAGGTGAGTGTCTGGAAGACCTTGCGAGCTGTGAGACGGTGAGGCCAGAAGGGAGGAGAGGAAGTGAACCTAGACCCCACACCCGCCCTAGGAAGTTGGTCTTTTTTACACCAAACATGCCATCCAACTGCACAAATATTACGAATGCCTAGGTCACATGCCAGCCCAACAAGGAGACAGGCACTGCCATGATGACTGCCTACTGGTTTTTGACACCTGTCCTCTTCTCTAAGGAGGAGTCAGGCTCTTCTCTGCTTGGGACCTGGAGGCTTAAGCTCTAACTTGGGTCCTGTTGTGTCCACACAGTGGGAAAGCCACTATCCTGAGTTTATGTTACATTATCTAAAACCAACTAGCCAAACTATGAGGAAGGGTGTGCCCAGATACGGTCTAGTGCTCTTATTTCCCTGACTGAATCCCATTGCATTGCAACTGCATGACCTGGGGGAAACCAGAACTGCCTTTTAGGCTTCCTGATAACCCAGTATCCTAGTCCTCCCACCCCCACCAACCCTGGCCCCAGTGGCCCCAACACAAGTGAAAGGAATGCTTTTGTTTTGTGCACAGCCAGTTGCTGGTTTGAAAGCAAAGGGCAATTTATTTCTGTCTTTCCTCCACCCAACAAGCCTTTACTGGGTGGAGTGGGGGGGGGGGCTACATTATGAACGGATGAGATCTACTCACAGTGGCCACAGCCTGGTAGGAAAGTGACAGGTAAGTGGGCCAGCGCAGCCCAGAGTGAAATGTGCTGCTGCAGGGGAAACATTCAGAGAAAACAGAGCTGGGCCCCTCCTTGGGCTCTGGAGGTTCTTCTGAAGGAGATGACCTCCAAGCTGAGTTCTGGAAAAGGAACAGAAAGGGGGAGACTGGGAGAGAAAGATGGAAGGTGTTCCAAGTAGAGGAATAGCTTCCACAGCGACCTAGTGGCATGGGAGTGCAGGTCATCTTTTGGGGGAGTAGGGACAGGCAGTTCACCATGGCTGGGTCTGTGAGCAGGAGACTGTGAGTGGAGAGAGAGGAGCAGGGACCTCCTGTGCTGCAGTAGAAGTTTGAGCATTATGCACAGCCACGAGAGTTTAAGGACTTCAAACCCAAGAGATCCATGATGAAAGCTATGTTCTAGAAGGATCCCTAGAACCCAAAAAGTAGAATGCAGCCCCTACCATTGAATCTTGGACAAAGCCCAGAATATGCTGGATAAAGGGGGACAGAAAGTGGCAGGACTAGCAGAGGAAGAGGGAGAGAAAGGATGTCCTAAGTTGTGTGTATTGCCCAAACGCCTAGACAGTTATATAGCAGATCCAGCTCTTTGCAAAGTAATGAGGGAAGGAAGAGAATGCCAGGCTGGGCATCAGTCCTGTGAATGCAAACGTTTTGAAGAGGGTCTGGCCCCTGCTGAACTGAGAACTGAAGCTCAGCTCCCAGGCTCCCAGCTGTGAGGTCAGGTACGTCCGTAGCCTGACAGCCAGCAGTGCATAGAAGGGTGGGGCGGGGTGGGGGGATAAGTCATGTGGTTGGTTAGCAGAGTTGGGCTGAGTGTCTGGATGCCCTGAGGGGGTCACTAAACCAGAGAATTCTCTCCAGTGTGAAATGCCGTGGCAGGTTTTCTGTTCTGCGCATTCTTTAATGTCTGCATGAGGTACCCAGAGTTCTAACACTGAACAAGCTATTGAATTGGAGGCCCTCTAATGGCCATGTGTGTTTTTGGTTATAGTGAACCCACTTCAGGGCGATTCCTGCCCCCAAACCCCAGGCTTGGATGCAGGGAAGAGGAATATTACCAGTCAGAGGCTGAAGGACTCCTGGAATGCCACAAATGCAGATACTTGTGCACTGGCAGAGGTGAGCCATTGTGTAGGCAGTTTGACCATTTATTCTCGCTGATGGTTCTGGAAGGGGTTGAGCTGGTGAAGCAAAATTTCAAGCAGAATTCCATTTTGGGTTCCGGGCATTTTTGTTCCCATACCTGTTTTAGGTTCTCATTTTCTGAAAAAAGAAAAGGTAGCACCCCCTGAAAGGTATGGCTCGAGGTTCCATGCTTCTCCTCAAATGTGCTCTGGGTCTGCGAGGCAAGCAGCCATGCCTGCAGTTTTCCTCCAGGTGGAACTGCCGCCGTCTGAATGTAGAACCAGCTGTGAACTGCCAGCTGTGGGAGGGCTGAGTTAGGGAGGGAGAGTACCTAGCGGGAGGAGCTAGTTGGCAGCTTATGCTTTAGGATGGGAGATCTGATGCCCAAGCACTCGTCATGGCTTTTAAACTTTGTAGACCGAGACCCACAGTAAGAAACAGATTTTACATTAAGACCAGGTCGTTCACACACACACACACACACACACACACAGACATCTTATGAAACAATGCCCTATTACCTCCCAAGGGCATGGGTCATTTTTCTATTCTGATTCACCGAGAACAAACAAAAACAAAAAAAACATGGTTGTTATAATCCACAGTTTGAAAAACACTCGAATAATATCATGTGGCAGCTCCAAACATGGCTCCTGGAGTTTCCATCCTAACACGAATCCTGACCTCGCCAGCAATGAAGAAAACCTGGTTTGTTAAGGTGAACCTTTGTGGCTCACATGATGTGGTGAGAAACTTCCTAGGCTGCCTATGACTAAGTGGGCAGGGGTGAGGCACTTCTAAGCCTAAGGGAGAGAAATTACAGCACTTCTTCTACCAGATAATGTATTTTAGGATAATTACAATGATGTACATGATTATGGGATTATCCAGAACTTTCATTAATGAGCTCCAGGCAATCCAGGTACAAGAATCCGTGCTCTAATTTATATCTGTTGGCACAACTTCAGTGCTTTTGATTGTCTCAACAACTCAGACTCAGAGGGATATAGTAAGCTACCCAGAATCACACAGCTGTTCAGTGGAAGAGCTGGAATTGGAACTTAGCACCTGACTCTAAGGTCCACAATGGTTAACTTGACCTTTCCTCTTTTCTTGATGATGAAAATAATTGGAATGAGCCAGAGACTGGTTAACAGGTTTTTCTGCAGAGGTATGTTTTCTTCTGTGATTGATTTATCACAGGAGAGAGCAGGGCTTGAGGATCCTGACCAAAACACACCTTGATGTCACTTTGATTGCTTCTATTTGGTTTTGGGCCTACGGGTTGGGTTTCTGAGTCGAGAGAGAGAGAGAGAGAGGATGGTTCAGCAGTCAGAAGCTAACAAATGAGAGCTTGTAAAGAATTCTGGACTCACAGAGACCCACACAAATACACAATAGTTGGTGTTGTGTTGAGAGAGAAACAGCCGTTAATCCCCAGGAACTTGTCTCCAGCAGGAAACACATGCCTGGAGAAAGGGCATCTGGAGATTTTCAGTGCCATCTTAGAGTAGATCTTTTGTGACTTCTTTTCCTCATCAGTGGAATCATGTCCTCCCGCAGTGGACTGGCAGATGTGAGAGGCAGCTGTAGCCCCCTCTGACTTCCTCGGGAGACCTGGAAGCTTGGGCTGGGAGTCAGCCTTAGGAAGTTCAGTGGAACACAAAGGACACTGACAGGAGAGAAGTCCCACATTTACTTTTACGAGAAATTCCCCTCAGGTACTAAAATCTTCCGGGTAAAGGTCAGATAAAAAGTACAGATGTCACGTGAACATATCAGATCACGAGGGAATTCTGTGCATGTATGGGTTGTGCTCATTTATGGTTTGAAGGGACCAGTGATGAGTTACAAGTTCCCTGGGAAGAAGGTGCTTTTCCTGTCCACCTGTCCCCTTTCTTAGCTCCCCCACTCTCCTTGCCCTTTCGTTCTCTCCCTCTCCCCTAGGCCCTTCATGCTCAAAGCATAATGTGTGCATTCAGCTTGCAGCTTTAATTCCACATCTCCCTGGGCTGGTTATTCTCTTTTGGTTCTATTCAGGCTAAAACAGGAATAAGAAGCTTATGGGGGCTCTGTCCTCCCAACACAATATTAAGAAATATATAGCATGTATTTGTTCTCAAAGAGCAAACCACTGGGGAAAGCCCAGATGTCCTTCACAGGGAAATTGTTAAAATTCACTATGGTATTCTATGCATCCTTAAAAATATGAAGTCAATTTATATGTGCTGAGGTAGAAGAAAATGCCCCCATTATATTCCTATGTGAAAAATAGGTTATATAATAATAGAGTAAGACCCTGTCCTTACCTAAAAGCAAATAAACAACAGCAAAAATTATGCATGTATGGCAGAAGAGCCCAGAAGAAAAAATAATGGTAACAGTGGTTGTTTTCTAATTGGTTGGATTTTAGATAATTTTTATATAATATGTGTCTGTTGTATCTACTTTTTTTTTTGCATTAAGTATGTGTTGCTTTTGTAATTAAAGAAAACAGTAGTGCTATTTGCATTTGGGGAAAAATTGAAGAGTGCCAATACTTCAGATGTATCATTTCAATTAGAGAATGTGTGGATGTGACACAGCTTCATACATTGACCAGTGGACCCTGGTACAAAATCTTCTTAAGCCAGGGAGATGCTGACAGTCTGACCCCTGAGTTAGCTGACCCACTAGAACCGGTCAGGCATGTGTAGTTTCCAGCTCAGAAGCACCCAGCTTTATATTATGCTGAGCAAAAGAAGCCACACACAAAAGAGTACATAACTGTATGATTCTATTACGTGAAATTCTAGGAAGGCAGGCTTAATTCCTAATGGCAGAAACGCATCGGTGGTTGCCTGGGGAGAAAAATGAGAGATTGACTACAAAGGGTTGCTAGGGAACTTTCTGAGTGGATAGAAATGTTCTATATCTTGATTATGATTGCATAACATATTCATGGTCAAAACTCACGAAGCTGTGTGGGTCATTTTGTTGTGTATAAGTTGTAGCTCAATACAGTTGATTTTAAGGAAAGCTGCCAGCTTTAGGGGAAGGTCTGGAGCTTTTTCTTGTCTAAGGTAAAGAAGCCAAGAGCCCTGAAGGAATCTAGCCCTGGGAAAATATCACAGCCCACATTTGCTCTTTAGGGAAACTAAAGAAAACAAAGTTAAACTTTAAACACCTGCTGAGTTAAAGTCTAAGAACAATAAAAACAATCGTTTCATTAATTCAGTAAGTCCTACAGCTTTCATTACTTAATCTTATTTCTGATACACATGGTTAATATTTTGATATGTAACTCCCATGATTTTTTCTGACTTCATTATATTTTGTAAGCTCTCTTATTCCCTCAAACTTGGAGAAGTTTTCTCTTTCAAGCTGAAGATAGTCAAAAACTTATCTAAAGAGGGGATAACCACTCCTTAGTGTTTTTGGTGGGGGAGGGCTGGGGCAGAGAACGTTCTTGCCTTTCTGCTAACTGACCTATTTGCCCCACTATCTTTCTGCGTCCCACCTGGGGCAGGCTCTTTTGAGAGGTGCTCTTTGCAGCCCAGAGTAACTCTGACATCATTTACAGAGCCCACAGTCCCCTGCTAATCTTGCAGCAGTGGCTACTCAGGCCTTCCAGGGGCACAGTGACAAGCCCGCTGTGGGGTAAGCTGCCATGCACAAGATAAGCATTGAGGTGGAGGTCTCCCAGTGCCAAGTGGCATCTCTTAAAATGGTAACACGCCCTTCTTTTGCAGCCTGCTGCCAAATGCTGGAGGTTCTCATGAACTTGCTGATCCTGGCCTGCAGCTCTGTATCTTACAATTCCACAGGGGGCTACACAGGCATCACCAGCCTGGGGGGCATTTACTACTACCAGTTCGGAGGGGCTTACAGTGGTTTCAGTGGTGCTGACGGGGAGAAAGCACAGCAGCTGGATGTCCAGTTCTACCAGCTGAAGCTGCCCACGGTCACGGCAGCAATGGCCTACAGCGGAGCCCTCATGGCCTTCTGCTGCCTCCTGGTCGCCATGGGTGTCCTGCGGGTCCCATGGCATTGCCCCCTGTGGCTGGTGATTGAAGGCTTGTTGGACATGCTCATAGCTGGGGCATACATCCCAGCTTTGTATTTCTACTTCTACCACCTCTCCACCGCCTATGCCTCTCCTGTGTGTAAAGAGAGGGAGGCTCTGTACCACAGCAAAGGGTACAGTGGCTTCAGCTGCAGTCTCCATGGGGGAGATATAGGAGCTGGAGTCTTTGCTGCCCTGGGCATTGGGGTCTTTGCTCTGGGGGCTGTGCTGGCCATCAGGGGTTACCGAAAGGTCAGGAAGCTGAAAGAGAAGCCTGCAGAGATGCTAGAGTTTTAGGATTGTTAACTTGTCCTGCCAAACAGAAGTGATGGAAGTTACTCTGAATTACTGTCTTCCACAGCATGCTTTGTTGTGGAACTTGAAAACGCTTGAGAAGTCAGAGGTCAGCTTTGGCATCCTGGGCGAGCTCTGGGTTAGAGTGGTGTTCTCTGATGTGTAAGCCCTGGTTCTGGATCCTGTTGATGAGGGTCTGACCAAAATTATTAAAAACATAAACAACAAGAACTGGAGCCCAAAACTCACAAGGAAAAGATGTGCTACAGCAAAGTGCCCTTCTTGATTAAACAAAGGGAGATGTCCAAGCAAACCTCAGGAGCCCTGTCTTCCACATTCATAAAAAGGCACACAGACACGAGACATTTCAGCCTGAACTTTTCTAAACACAGCTGTCGTAAGCAGATTAGGCTCCAACTTTTTCTACATTGAACTCTCTGATCCTTTACTGCCTTAATCTGGATGTCAGGGTAGGGACGCCTGGAAGACTACTGTGAGGTTTATGTTGGAGGTGGGCGTGGGCTGAGGAAGGAGGAATTGGGTTAATGTACTAGGTTGCAGAAAAGCTATTCTCACAAGCCCCTCACAAGGGCCTTGAAAGCTCAATAGTGTTTTGTACCTCTTGTAAATGTGCCATTGTATGAAGAATTAAACCCGACATCTGGAATTCAGGATCCATCCAGAATAAATGAATGTAAGCTCTTTCCCAGCACAAGAATGCTGCTTTTCGGCAAACAACTTCACGGGTTCATATTGCATGTTAAATTATGACTCATGGAACATGATGATATATTCTTGGTATAAGTGAATATGTTCTTTGCTTTATGTGAATCCAATAAAAATCCAAAGAAATATCTTAATTTGGAGGTGATGGTTCTCTTTATAATACATTTATAATATTATTCCCTTAAATACAGGCAACTTACCACATTTAAGATGAGTTCCATTTGGGTTTAGAAAAGGAGATGCATATATATGTACATGCTTAAAGTATTCTGTGAATATATATAAGAAAGCATTAACAATATTTGCTTCTGGAGAGAAGGAGATTTTATGTTTCATTTTATGCATGACTTGACTGCACATGTTCTATTTTGGACAAATAAAAAGTAATTTTTATTTGCTCTCCTCAGTTTTTTCACATTTACAGTGCAAAGGCAGAAGTAATGTATAATAAAGCAGAATATTAAATGATCAGCTACAAAAGCAGCCTCACCAGAAAGACACTATTTACAATAAAAACCTCATGCCCATTGCAGTCTCCACTTTCCCTCTGGAAAGCCCTGACTTGTCCCCACCATAAACTGCTAGCTCTCGTAGTGACCCTTTTTCTTTTCTCCTGGTGTCCGTGAATCAGTGTGACTGCATGCTTGGAAATACTTGAACCTGTTTGGTGTCGAGAGCTAAACCAGGTCAGGCCTGGCTGGGACTGTGAGATTATTCAATGGCCATACTCCTTCCATCAGGCTCCACAACAGACCATTATTCCTCTCAATTCCTGCAGCCCATGGGGTAGTTGACAAGATCTAGGTTTATTCCATTTCAGCCTAGCAGATATGTGCTTGCACAGATTATGACTCCACTGTTTTGGCAGAACATGTCCCAGAAGGAGACTGTGCGGATTTCCGCATCTAGTGGTGGTGCAATATTCATTTCCCCTTAGGGGTGAGATAGTAACGTGCATGCAGAAGGAAAACTGAGGCAGAGAAAGGTGTTGGGATAGCTACTCCCCTGAATAGGAATGATGTCTGGACCAGTTCACTTGCTCTGCTGCAGGGAGAGAGTGGCAAGAAGCTTGCAGTGCCTGGGTGGCGAGTGGGCAGTTCTCCTCTGATGTTATTTTCAGATTGAAATTAGTGGAACACAGCTTCTCAGCTGTCAGAGCCTTTGACTGCTGTGTCTCCTGGACCTCCTAGGAATTTCCGTGGGCCCAGCAGGAGATGGGATCAGCAAGCCCAGTAGCTGTTGCCTAAGTATGTTAGAGATACTGATCTGCCTGGATTATAACCGTTGGACCCCGTAGTGAGTGCATTACTGGGTTTTCCTCATTTTTGGGAAACCATGCTTTTCATAAACTCACCCCATTTCTTCTTACATCTCTTAAGTCCCTTCCACTTTACAAACGTTACTCAGTAGCATCACCATCCACTTGTATAACAGTTTGTGATCTTCCCAGTATTCTCACGCAGTTGCTTTCATTTGGGCTTCCCCCCAACCCTGTGGGATAAGACCAGCAGCATTATCTTCATTTGTTATGTGAAGTGTCTGAGGCTGAGTCACAGACGGTAAACAGTAGCAACAAGAGCTTGGCGTTCCCACTGCAGTTTGTATGCTGTTCTTAGTCTCACTGCAGAACCCTGACAGAATGGCAGGGGACACTGGCCCAGAAGAGGCCAGGGCCTGTGCCAGTGACGATGAAAGCTGGCATCAGACAGGAAGATACTGTCTCCGGCCTGTCGGTTCCCGCTGCCTGTGGCTTTTGTAGGTTCCTTCGGCCTGTGGGAAAGCACCAAGAGTACAGCCCAAGTATCCATCAGTAGGATGCTGGTTGACGAGGCCAGTCCACCCACACAGTGGAGCTGGGGGCCATGGAACAAAGCGTGGACGGTGGGAGGGCTGATCTGAAAACGACTCTTGGCATAGTAAACAACAAGGCAAGACCCAGAGCCGTGTCAGCAGTGTGGTTCCTTGTCAAAAAAAAAGGAAATGGGGGATGAAATGCCGATCTGAACACTTTTATTTGCAAAAGGAACACTGAAAAGTTACATTAGAAAATAATGAAAGTGGTTGGGGTAGGCAACAGGGTGGACAGAGACATGAGTGATTTCTCAGTTTGCACCTTTTTGTGGCATTTTTAAAAAACTCAGTTTTGAAATAATTATAGATTCACAAAACATTACAGAAATAATAGAGAGATCCTGAGTTTCCCCAGTGGTAACTCTTGCATAACTCTAATACCATACCATAACCAGAACATCAACGATCTACAGCTTTGATTTCCCCAGTTTTACATGCACTCATGTCTGAGTGCAGTTCCGTGCACTTTTATCACATATAGATTGTGTGGGATAAGACTGGCCGTAAGACACAACTGCTCCATCACCAGGCATGCCTACAGCTCCCCCTTTCCAGTCACACCCAGCCCTCCCCACCCCCGTCCCCTCACAAGCGTGGATCCGCGTTCCATCTAATTTTGTCATTTTGAGACTGCTGCGTGAGTGAAATCATACAGAATATAACTGTCTGCGATTGGCCTTTTTCACTTGTAATTCCTTTGAGATCCATCCAAGTAGCTGCGTGTCAACAATCTGTTCCTCTGATTGTTGAGTTTTCCATGGTGTGGATGTCCCAAATTGTTCAGCCGTTTGCCCATGGAAGTACATTTGGGTTTCCAGTACTTGGCTATTACAAATAAAGCTACTGTGAACGTTCATGTACACATCTCTGCATAGACCTTAAGTTTTCATTTCTTTAGGATAAATCTCTGGAGTACTGTTGCAGGGTCATGTGGTAAGTATATGTTTAGTTTTTTGAGAAACCCAAAAACTTTTTCCAGCATGACAATTTGATTTTTGAAACATATTAAAAAACAAAAACCAAGGATGTTAATGTTGAATCTGACCATGTCCTTAAAATCAGGTCACCAGTGGTATTTCTCTAGTCTGCTCTAGAGATTTCCTGGGTGAGTGAGTGATATTGGTGTTAAATCCTGAATCTCTCTCCTCCTAGGTGTGGTACAGATAGTGGAGGTGATACTGAATGGGATGGTTCTCATGTGTATCGTGGCCTCCTACTTTGTCCTTGCTGGATTCAGTGCCAGTTTTTCCAGTGGTGGCGGCTTTGGGAACAACTATTACTCACCGTTTGAGGGCATTGAGCTGGAGCAGGTTCGGCAGCTGGACCAGCAGTACACAGTCCTCCGGGCACCCCTGATATATGGCGGTGTGGTTGTTACTCTGGGGCTGGGTGTTCTCACCATGGGTGTTTTAGTCCAAGGAGCCAAGAGTCTAGCCAAACTGTCGGGGAAGTGGCTCCTCCTGGAGGCCGCCTTCAGCCTCCTAGCGGCAGTGGGCTACTGCATCGGCACTGGCACTTACCTCCACGTAGCCTTGCGGATCAACTCCACGGACACCTGCAAAACGAGAGAGAGGCTCTATGCCCGCAAGGGTCTCACCTGGATGAACTGCCAGCTGGCAGGCACAGATGGAGCGGCAGCTACCTTTGCTTGTCTTCTGGTGATTATGTATAGTGTCAGCTTGGTGCTGGCCTTGCGGAGCTACCGAGAACAGAAGCACTACAGAGACAGCCGAGAACACAGAAATCATAACGATGCACCGGAATACCTGTGGTCTAGAACACTCTGAGGTCTTCTTCTGGAACCTAAATGTCAACCCACCTCCCTTGTTTCTCTCAAAAAGAAGATGGGCCCTTTAAAATCTCACAATAGACAATGGCAGTTTTCACATACTTGATTTTATAAGTGCTCCCTTTGGTACTATTGTAAAGCTAGATGATCATCTCATTTTTCTATCAGTAAGTCTTTGTTGGCTAAGAGCTTGAAAAAATATCTCCATCTTTGCTACAAAGAACATTAGAAGTTTGGGAATATACTCTTACAGTATGGCTCTTACCAAATGGCAAGGTAGTAATAGTAATAGCTAAGTAACCAGAAAAACTCTGAAAGATGAGAACCTCACATCTGAGGTAGCAGGTCCAGTGTTACCCTAGAAATATCTTGCCTATTGAAACTATTGAATTCACAAAAAGAAACATGCCATTCCCCTCCACCCCTATCCCGGGGCAATTATTTTAAAGCAATTTTCATAAAATTGTTTGAGTTTTAAGCAATTGCATCCTGACTTTGTCCTGGAAGGAAACTGTTCTGCCCACATAGCACTGCACCATGACTGCATGGGTCCCAGGCAGCCTCCGTCCATTAGAGAAGGGAGGCTGGGTTCCTGGCACATGAGCAGAGATGCTTTGGGCATGCGTGTTCCTCCTCAGGATTCCTGCAGTTAGGGCTGAGACAATGTTTTTTGCCAGCATTCCAAGTTCTTTTTTTTTTTTGTTTCAAGTCATTCAGTTGTTGGAGTTCCTTTGCCTGAAAGAGTTTTCTTTTATGTGAGGCTTCCAAATAGATACAATTCATAAACTTCTTAAACTTATTTCAAAGATAAAGCAGTTAATTTTACTATACTTTTATAAAGGCCGACTAGAAGCTTCTTCCTTTCTGCACTCCCATGCCCCACAGAATACACCTTCCTTCAAAGTAGATTGTAATCTCTCAGGACCCTGAATCATTTTCATAATGTAACAGATCAGTAACACTGAATCTTTTAAAATAAAGTTCTTTCAATAATTTTGATCTAATGTTTTATAGCTGTTCTTATATGTTACACCCAGCCTCAAGTTTTTAATGCATGTCAGATGAAACTAGACATACGTTACTATAAAGTATACGGGGTTTTTTTTGGTAATTGTCCTCTTGCTTTTCAATAGCTAATTCTTTTTTTCATAAAATTGTTTTCTTTTTATGAGTTTAAACTATTAATTCATTCAAACCAAGATTTTAGTAAATTTCTAAAACTATTTCCACAATGCAATTTTGACATACATCTCAGATTCTCTGATCTATAGTTAGTTAAGAAGTCAACAAACATAAGCCTATTTCAACATATGCCAAAATGTGTTAAAGAAAAGTCATCATTTTCCTCTGACACGTGTGGGTCACTCTTACCGCATGTTTGGGGACTCTCTTCACTCCCCCTGACCCACCTGCAACACCAATCTGGAATATATTATCTTTCCTCTTTCCTCTCAAATCCTTTCAACAACTAATTCTTACAGTATCTATCCCAGGCCAAGGATCAAAAATAGGCAGAAATGGGAAAATATGTAATACTTTAACAAAAACTAAAGGAAAATAATCACCTGGAAATTTACATCGCTAGGTTAAAACGCAAACACTTGTGCCATGGCAAGGTGCTTCCACTCTCTCAGCCTCAGTCTAGAGGCAGTGGCTACAGCCCTGGTTTCTACTGAGTGGCAGACAAGAAGTTGGACAGCAGCAAACAGCACACAACCCATTCCTCACCTGCCCCCAAAGAATCCAACACACACACGTATTCTCACCTGGCGTGTATTCCCTAAAACATGTCCCTATTAGATCTTTACCCACATGTGGGTCTTGTGCTTGATAAAATGGGGACTTCGGCCTTTTCAATTCCGTCATTGCCCCCCAGCCCAGTTATATTGCTCCCAAGATTCAGCTCCTCTTGACAGGCTGGAGCCCACCTATCACTGTAGTCACAACACTCCACATTCAGTTTCCTATCATTCAAATGCTTTAGCAAATCTTGTCTTATTACTACTTGTCAGGCAGGCAGGTCAAGATTTATTACTCATATTTTACAGATGAGGTTCAAGGAGATTAAGTGGCTTACCTATTAGTTGACATTTCGATGGCTGCTCACTGGGTGCCAGGTCCAGGACTGAGCTAAGGAAGCATTTGTTTGCATCGTCTCATTTAAGATCACAACTAACTGCTGAGAGAAATACTATTACTTCCGTTTAACAGTTGAGAAAAACTGAGGCTTGGAGAGGTTAAGTAATTTGCCTAAAATCACATCTTTTAAGTAGCAGAAACAAAACTCAGGCACAACAAATCACACACTGGAACATGTTCTAATGTACTCTTGTGGCCTTTAGGCAAACACGATTAATTTAATCACACCAAGCACAGAACATCACTCAAGAGAACTTCACTTCTGCCACCCTGGAATACAAAGGTGTGTCTCATGGAAATGAAGTGTCAAAGCAGATGGTGGCATTGAGCCCACTACATGGAAGGTGCTCAATGAACAGTTGAACCAAGACTTTAAAATGTTCATTCTGCTAGAGAAGAAACCTGCAAAATGATTTCAATGTGGCCTTCATTTGGAGTGAGAGAGCACTAATCTTGCTTGGAAGTCCAGAGAGTATGAGACATAACCAATGGGGGAGAGAGAGGGGAGGGGTAACAACAGTTTAAGAGACTTAACTGAGTTCTAAGTATTTTGTATTTTTTAATAATACAAAACTCCATCACTCCATCTGAAGTTCTGACACCAAACCATCATATATAAGACACACAATGGCTGGATTAGCTCCATGATTTAAGAGAGCTGTAGTGAGTTTTCTCTAGTCAGCTAATAACCTGCATGTAAATAAGGACTGTGTTCCTGTCTGTGGGATTTCTTTAAACATCTAAACCAAGTCAGAATATAATGTTTCTTAATGTAAAAAACCTTTATTGCTACTTCAGCCTTAAAAGGAGATAAAAAATATTTATTCTTGCTTTAACTCATAGCCTAAGAGTGTCATGGAATGTGGTTTCATTTGTTTATCTTCCTCTAATGCAAGAAAAGTAGAAAAATCCGAAAGGTGCTTTTGGTTAAGAAAACTAATTCTATATACGTTAGAGAAAATTACAGTCTCATGCCACAATAAAGTATTTATAAAGTAACAGGTGTTCCATTTTAAAACAAAGCCATGAAAAAGATATTCCATTTTATTTTATTTATTATTACTGTTTTTATTTTTTACAAACAATAGATTTGCTGCAACATGCTCTGGCTCATATTATTGAATTAAAAAATTTAACACATTTCAAAAATATCAAAAATACACTATCATGAGTCTTAGGACTACAATACGACAATGATTGCACAAAACCGTAAGATATGAATTCACTGTCCAGATGACATCCATTGGCAACAGTGAGAGAAAAACCTATAGCATCTGGGAGAAGTGCGTGAAATTTAGAATGCAAGGACTTATGTGTGATTGAATGATCACCAAATGGAGGAAACAGAGCAGGATTTGCTGTAGCTGCTTTTCTCCATCTAGGAAGTGCTTACCCTACTATCGGGCAAAGTCACTAACTAGAGAGAAAGATTAACTTGCTTCCATGACCAGGGAGGTCTGAAAGGCCCCACCCAGAGGGAAGTAAAAAGTGACACCAGACAGTTCTATAGTGATGCTGCACACATCACTGAATGGCTTGGAGACTATTTAATAATTGGTTCATTTACTGATAACAGCCAAGTACTCCCTTATGGAGGTCTCTTCATTAATAATTATTGAGTAAATAGAGAAGGTGAGCCTGTGACTTCCAAATATCTGCTTTTGCTGAAGGTCTACATGGAAAGAAGAGCATCAATTGCTATTCAGTCATCAGCCAAACCTAACTGGCTCCATCTCCCGGAAAATAGCACTCACTATAAACAATTATAATAGCACCCAATGATTACCAAGCTGCTCATATTGGCTTTTTCATACACCAAGAAAATGAATTCATCAACTTATTGCACATATACACTCTACAGTAGTGTAATAAAGCCCTCGCTTGTATTAGGAGTGGGTAGTTCAACGACTCACTGAAGCTCTAGAACACACCAGCATTCAAATTTTCAAATATATTTCTAATTTATTTGAATAAAAATAAGAGTATCATGCTGCCAAGACTCTAATATTTTTTCCTTCCATGGGACTCCTGAACTGCTCCCTTGAGTAGGAGTAATGTGTCTTTCAGAAATTCTCTTAAACTTCTTTATTAAATGGGAGGTACACACAGAGACCTGAGAATCATGCAGAGGCCAGAATCTCTGGGCTAGAGATCCGTGGTTCTCTGCCCACCCAGGGACACATCCTCTGTGTAAAGTCCTGGGAAACAGATTACATTCACCTAGAGATAAATTACTGGATTTCACTACCTGATGACCTCATCAGATCACACAGGACTGTTAATGACCTTATAGGTCAAAAGAGTTCTGTATATATTTGGTAATGGACTATGGCCTTTTTACCCTCTATTTTAATACAGAGCAATTACAGAAGGAAATGAATGAGTTACAAAAAAGAAAAATAAATTTTGGTTTAGCCTATATTAAAAGGCTTTCAGTACAACCCAATGTTTCTTGAAATAATCTACCACATTAAAAGAACATTTGGGATTTCACAGTTCTGAGAAGAAAGAAAAAAATACATCTACTTTTGGTAAAGTCATTTCAGAACTGGGTTTGTGGTGATTCCCCTAAGTAGGGAGACAAAGAGATGAAAGAAAAGGGTTCACAGATAAAGGTCAGTTTTTAAGAGACTATATACTATTAAAGCAGTTATTCCCAAAATAAGTTTCTTTTTTAGATAACACCATTATTCTGTAAATCAAAGGTTCTGCTGTCTGGGTAGGAAGATGTTTTACCTCATTCATCACTATTATCTTGACTTTTTCCTTCATTTCCCTTTTTTTCCCCATTTTCCCATATAAAAATAAGGCAGCAACACATTATTATTCCCATCTTTCTAACAGCACCTGAACTTTGTACGACCACTATGTTCCTCACTTCAAATCAAGACCTGAGTTCTAAAATTTTTCAGTAGCTGACCAGTAGTTTGACACAGGGAAAGTCAAGTTTTCCTGGTAACTTGAGGACTCAAATTCAGATCCTTGAGGGGTTGAATGATACACAGCCACTGCAATGCCCTACTGACACACGCACAAGGGCATGGGACCTCTGAGAAGATGAAGATACATAACCATCTGTGGACAGGCCATCTGGTTTTCTATTACTGCTTTAACAAAAACTTCAAAAAACCCCACAAAGATATATGTGTGTATGTGTGTGTTGTGTGTGTGTATATATATATATATCTCAACCCTATCTTTTAACATTTTGTTTCTCATGAAACAAATTAAAAATGGTTCCACTCTATTTTCTTTTTAATTGTGAAAGTATTCTAAAAAGTCAAAACACATTCCCCATCAGGTAAAATCAAACAATGTCAAAATTTTGTAGAGATGAACTTTCCTAAGCAAATAAATCTTCTAATGGCAAAGGCAACAGACAGAAATACAGAAGGAACTGCATTTGCTAGTTACATGGAATGTGCAAAAAATAAACCAGTTTTTCTGTGAGTTTAGGACTTTCTCAATTGTCTTCCTTTTATTAGTAATTGAGCCCAGTACTTTGAAACTATGTGAGGTGGAGAAGCAGTTCTCAGAAGAGTACTCTGTTAAACATTAAATAAACGAACTCCCAAGCTACTCCAATGTTTTAGAAAACCACCCCTCTGCTTTAGATTAAGAGAAGGAACACGTCTAATCTGCGAGCTCCATCCATCCATCTGTTCTCATTGAACCTCAGTCTATTCAGTCATCTGCTGTAACTCAAGGTTCCTTGCATGTGAGCAGCATCAGCCTTGGCCCACACATTAGGAGGCTGACAGCCAACTCCGTTACACTCACAGAAAGAGGCCATTTGCCCAGTGCCTCTCTTGTGATCTGCTGGTAAATTCCTAGCAGGTGTCAGATCTGTCAAAGGGTTC